TGTTCGGAATATTTTATTTTGGCGATAGAACCTACAACGTTTTTCATATCGACTTGTTCTCTGTGCCTTTAGCTGAAGTTTCTGCTTCAGCATTTCCTTGATTGATGGAATATCAATTAGGGATTTAATGTTATATTTCCGCTTGATCTTTTTGAATTTACGTGTGGAAATATTAGGGTTTCTGGTGAGCTCATCTAATATAAAAAACTCACATCTGATTTGTTTTATTTCTCGTTTATTATTATTATTATTATTATTATTTTATTTACTTTGGTCATTATTATTGTTGTTGTTGTTTTATTTCCTTTGATTTCTGGTGTGTACGCATTTCTTTCCTGGTCCCAATCAGACACCTATGGTTAGAAATGGCATCATGACATTTTCCATTGACCAATTAAACAAAAGAACAATAACACGCATATTTTAGACAGACAAAGTCCTTTGTAAGGCGTGGGATGTACTCGTGTGAACAATTTTGTTAATTTCTTTAAGGCATGGACTTCCAGAAATCCCTTCAATGTGTCTACTGAAATTTTTCCAACCAATCCGAGGGCTCCAACTACAGGGATTGTTGATGCTCCCATGTGCCACATTTTTGAGATTTGATTTTAACGTCCTTACATTTTGATCGCTTTTTGAAGATCTTCAAAGATACATTGCAATCTGTAGGGACTGCCATATATCAATAAGGAGGCCCTTTTTTTGTTTGCAGGTCTCTAATCACAATATCTGAGCATTTAGCTTTGATTGTTCTCTAATCCAATATCAACCTGATATCAATTGCTTCTGGATATTTGCATTTAATTTCTAGTTAACTTTCCTGTGCAGCAAGGATAAAACCTTCAGTTTTTAACCCTGCACTACGTAGCCACTGATGGATACATGGTTTGTCGACATCTGTTTCTTTATCTTGCCATTGTTTCTGTATCTGGTCAGTTGCATTTGCTTTTGTTAATAATATCGTGCAACCTGATACAAGATGATCAATTGCGGAAAGACCTGGATATTTGTCACAGAATTTTTTTTTTTTTTTTTTTTTTTTTATTCCGATGAAGTTGCTAACGTTACATAGACAAAGTTTTGTATGTGTATTTTTTCTGTATGTCTCTTAATTTTCTAGTGTTGTTTTGTTCCATTTTTATAATTCCAAGTGCACCTATTACCAATTATTCTTGTTTTCAATTTCCACATTTTTCTATTTCAATTTCCAGGTCTTTGATTTTGATAGTTTTTCCTGTTCCTTGGTTGCTATGTTACAATCCGCTAAAATTAGTAGGCCTTTCTGGTTTTTGACAATAATGTCCGGCCTATTTGCTTCCTGTCTGTGTGGATGGTATAATCCCATAGAATGGTGACATCTTCTATTTCTGTAACCGGCGCTGGCCACATACCAGTGTTTGGATTTTTCAAAGTGTTTTTGCACATTGTCCAGTGTAAGTATTGTTTATCGTGACGATTTTTATATTCATTTGGGGCAAGTATAGAACATCCTGAGATTAGATGGTTATTGTTTCTTGTATTTGTCACAGAACCTGCATTTTGGATCCACATTATTATGTATGATATTTGCCTGAAAATTCCTAGTGAAAAGACTCTGGTCTTGCGTTTTCATTTCAGACTTTAATCCAGATGCTCCCATCGATGAGTATTAACTTTATCAACATTGGGTTTATTTGCGTTCTGGATATTGGCTGTCTTGCCAGCGTTGTTTCATCTGTTCAAGGGCTTTATCCTTGGCTTTTTTTTCATATCTTTTGCTGCAATTTGGTTCTTGGCTTTTTGATTTACTACAGAATCTACTAAATAAATAATATTATTGAATATTTTTTCTTTCTGTTTTCATGTTGTTTCATAATAATTTTATCATCCAGTCATTTGTTGTTTCCATGTAAGTTAGTAAGCCAATAGTTGTTGTATAATTATTATTATTATTATTATTATTATTATTATTATTATTATTATTATTAGAGGAGGCACGGTGGAGTAATGGATATCGACTTGGAATCGGAGGGCTGAGTTCGAATTCCAGTCGAATCCATTACATTCACTTACGTGCTAATACCCTTGGGAAAAGGAGTGAATCCTCTTCTTCTCCCTCCAGCTATGGGCAA